GGCAGGAGCCATGCCACTCTGTCCCCACCAGGGCTATGCTGGGCTTGGCAGTGTGTCCCAGAAATCCAGCTCAACTGGTCAGCCTTGGCAACAAGCACCTTTACCCACTGAGCCACCCTACCCACTCTTTTATGATACTTTTGTCTGTATTACTATAAGGGTAGTTTTGACCTCACAAAAGGAACTAAGAGATAGTCTCTTCTAGAAAGAGTTTTGCATTTCTTATTCAGTTGTACTCATTTCCATCTTTCTAGGACTTTCTACATTTACCTGGGCTATCTGACTTGTTGGCACACAGCTGTATTGCCTGAGAGGCCTGTTTCCCCATCCACACCCCCCCAGTAACCCCCCATCTCCTATCCCATCCCTCTGCCTCCTCCTCTTTTTTTTTTTTTTTTGTTGTTGTTTTTTTGTTTTTTGTTTTTCGAGACAGGGTTTCTCTGTATAGCCCTGGCTGTTCTGGAACTCACTCTGTAGACCAGGCTGACCTCTGCCTCCCAAGTGCTGGGATTAGAGGCGTGTACCACCACTGCCCAGCCTTTTTTTGCTTTTATACTGTTTAAATTACATGCAAGTATTAAAGTCAGTTCCAGGTTGAGAAACAGCAATACAATAGATTGTAGTAGTAAATACTGATAGTCAAGGAACAAGCAAGGCAGTAAACAGTCCCATGACCACTCCCGTGATCACTGTTTCTAAGGGCTTATCAGGACGACCAAAATATCTGAGCCTACTTCCCTGTTCTAGCCCAAAGTCATTTTCATGTCTGAAGCCTACTTCTTTGTTCTAGCCTAGGATTTAGATTCCGGCCTGAAATTGTTTCTTTGTTCTAGCCTAATGTCATTAGTCATCTTTTTTAAACCTCTTTTTAAATTTTGTTTTACTTTCTTTTTTTTTTTTTTTTTAAGATTTATTTATTTATTACGTATGAATACACTGTAGCTGTCTTCAGACACACCAGAAGAGGGCATCAGATCTCACTACAGATGGTTGTGAGCCACCATGTGGTTGCTGGGATTTGAACTCAGGACCTCTGGAAGTGCAGTCAGTGCTCTTAACCACTGAGCCATCTCTCCAGCCCCTTGTTTTACTTTCTTTACTTCTGCTATTAATTTCTTTTTCTGGCGCTGAGGACTGAGCCCGGGCCCTTGTTCCAGTAGGGGAGTGCCCCAAGTCATGGCCCAGCCCTGGGGCCTTCGCTGTGGCCTTCATTTCACTGGCTATGGGCTTCCTTTACTCCAGTGGAGGCTGTGTTATTGATCTGAGAGTTTTCTTTTTCAGTGTGCAGTCTCAGCTGCACTTCTTCCCAGCGAGGCTTTCTGTGTCTGGTAGTCGTTAGTCGGGTTTGGTTTTCATGTCACCACGGATCCCTTTGCCTTAATCTTGAAGCTACTGACTACGCGTCTGTCTTGGAGTGTACGGATGCACGCCAGAGAGGACTGTGTGCACTGCTCTTGTTTAACTGGTGTCTGACAGGTCTCCTTCATGCTTTGTCGGTTCGACAGTACACTTTTTGTCAGGTTTTTGAGACAGGGCCTTGTGTAGCCTACACTGGAGCCTGCTGTGGAGCCAGGGAGCTATGAACCCCTGACCCTTGGGCCTCTGCCTCCCGGGTGCTGGCTTATGGGCATGCACACCCAACCTGTCAACTTTAGTTTAAGATGGTTTCCTCTGGTTCATGCATTCATATCTGTTCCCCGTGCACTGCCTGAACTGTGTTTTTCCTAATCCTTTTAGTTTCAACTTCTGTGTGTCTGAATAAGAAAGATCTCTCTCTCTCTCTCTCTCTCTCTCTCTCTCTCTCTCTCTCTCTCT